AGGGATGAGCTACTGAAAGTATGTGGACTAAAGGCAGTCACATGCTTAGTGTTGTACTTCAGGGAATAAACAGAGAATGGCTGAAATCATTCATTCATTCATTCATTCAACAAATGCACTATTTGGTGTAGTGTGTACTCATAAAGAAAACAGTCTCTGCCTTCCTGGAGCTTACATTACAGTGGGGAAAGGAATATAAAAGCATAATGCCAGTTAGTGATAGATAACTATAAAAAATGTGAAACAGGGATTATTCTGGACAGTGCAGATAAAAAGCCCTGTCTTATGGAGCTTACATCCTAATAGGGGAGACTAGAAATAAATGAATCCATAGCATAATTTCAGGTAATGATGAGTGCTATATGAAAAAGTTAAGGGTGTATGCGTGTGAAGAGTAAGGAGTTTAGTTTTTAGAAAGCGTTGTCTGAGAAATGAGGTTGATGCAGGCAGGCTGGGTCCTGCAGGATGAGCCCGGAGGGTCCTTGGCTAAGTGCGGCAGGATAGAAATCAAATGTGAGCCAGTAGGAAGTGAGAGCAGGGTTTATTGGAGATATATAGGGAGTGCAGGAACAGACAGAGTGTCCAGGAGACTCAGAAGCAAAGGAGAGAGTCTCTTCTTTGCTTAGGGTCTGGGGTTTTTACTGATGATTGTGGTCTGGTGCACATGTTCTCTCTGGCATCCAGGAACTGGTCTGAACAAGGACAGGGGCCATGTGTGCATCATAAGTCACAGATTCCTTGGAGCCAGAGGGTTTTGGCATTGAGATGTCTAGCGCCAGTGGTCCAGAATACACACATGATGGTCTTGCCGGGTCATTCTTACCCAGTCATTCCTGAGATGTCATCTATTGGGCTGGAAGTCTCCAAAGGAATCATTAACTCCTTATCCCTTATGAGAACATATATTAAGGCGTGTGTGTGTGCGTGCGTGCGTGTGTGTGTGTGTGTGTGTGTGTGTGCAGATCCTAGCAAGAATAGAAATAGGTAAAGGAGCTAAAAAAGCAGTTTTTCCCCCCTCATGGGGTCCCTTTAGTTTCCCTATCTCAAGATGATAGTTTAGGAGATCTGAGCCTTGACCTGAATAAAGTGATAAAGTTTGCCATGTGGACATCTATCTGTGTGAAAAGGGTGAAGGAACAACAGTGGGAAGGACAGAGGAAGAGTATGCTTGACATATTTAAGGAAAATAAGAAAACCAGCCTGGCTGAAGCATAGTCAGAAAGCAGAAGTAGAAATGAGTTTGGAAAGGCAGCCAGGAAGAAAGTAACATAGGGGCCCGAGGGCATGGAAAAGACTGCTATTTATGCTGTAGACAGAGAAAGTACTTTGCACTGGTTTCTGTATAAAAAGGATCACTCTGGCTAATTTACCAAGAATAGAATGCAGGAAGGCAGGATTAAAAAGTTTTGGATTAGGTTGGTAGAGGAGGAAGGTAAATTTATAAACAAGGGGAGAATGGACTAATAATGGTGTCCTGATGCCTTTCTAATGAATGCAAGAGTTACAAAATGAAAAGGAGAAAACAGATTCTTAAGACACTTTGGAGGCTGAGTAACTTGGAAACCAAGTATGGATGGCAGTATGGTTGGAGAGAATGAGGAAAATGGAAGGCCACCCTGAGGCTCTGAAAATTGGTAATTAGGAGGATTGTGGTATCATCAACTAGATCCCAAGACCTGACCTTTACTGTCCTACTCACCGACCTTTGTCCTACATTTTTCCTTAAGCGTTTTTTCCTGCTTTATCTCTTAATTCAGGCAAAAGGAAGGCAAAACCACCCCTCAAGCAGTTCTGACGGGACCTCCAGCCAGCCCAGATCACTCCCACCGCTTTGAGCTTAACTCCCTGATTCACCTGCTCAAGTGGGCAGTGCAGTGACCTCTAGAATAACCAATAATTACCTTTACCTCATTATAATATTAAAACCTCTGCCTAAGGAGGAACACAAACCTCATTTACTTTACAATGCACGTATAATGCATGTTTCCTTAAGGTGCATGTACGACCTCATGCCCACCTCTACATGCACTGACAAGGATCCCCTTTTAAACTATTCTCCCTAACCCTTAGGTGAGTGGGTGGCTCAGTCGGGTAAGTGTCAGACCTCCTCTCAGGTCATATCTCACGCACGGTTTGTTGGTTCAAGCTTCGCATCTGACAGCTTGAAGCCTGCTGCAGATTCTGTGACCCCTTTCTTTCTGCCCTTCCCCTGCTCGTGCTCGCTCTCAAAAATAAATAAACACTAAAAAAATTTTTTTGAAAGGAACCCATACACCCTTGCTCAGAGTTGCAGCTTTGTTAGTTATTTCCTATGATTTCCTTATTTGTTGCAAATAAAATTTCCTTTGTGCAACAATTCACCTCGTGTAGTTTCTCTCTGTGACTCAGCAAGGAGAGAACTCACATTGGTTTGGTTACGGTGGTAGCATTTAGTTACAATAATAGAAATTAAGACGAGTTTGGGAGAGAACAGGGCAGATGGTGGATTTTGATTATGTTGAGTGTATCTTGATACAGATGTTCAGCTGATATAGACCATAAATTTACTCCTGTCTCCAAATAGATAAAGTGGAGGCCATTTTCACACATTTCAAGGAAAAAGCAAGGAACTATTCTTTTGCGAGTAATTACTATGGGCAAAAATGCTCACATAATAGTGGGAAATCAAAAGTCTGGGAGACAGAGAAGAGAGATTTATTCGTAAATACCTTTAAAAAAGGCAGCATAGAATTGTATATAATAATGGCTATCGAGCTTGATTGCCCAAGTTCAAATTCCTGGTATGCCTTTTTCAAATTGTATGACTTTGAGTTGGATCTTCTGGTCTTAGTTTCTTTATGTGAAATTGTTACAATAAGACTTATCTGATAAGGTTGTTGTGGAGCAGTTCTTAATCTGGAGTCCATGAAATTTGGGGAAACTTGAAATGGAAAAAAAATTAACCTTATTGGTACTAACCTCTCATGAAAAATCTTGTTTTCTTCAATTATAAAGCAGAAAGCAAACCATGGTGGTATTAACAGTACGTACGGCTTTGTTTCCTGCAGAAATTACAAACTACAAATAACTTCGTATCACAGTGTTGCAGGATTTTTTTTTACCTCGGTTCCCCGGGGTTCTTTGTCTCACCGCCTGGAAGAATGAAGCCGTGGACACAAAATGAGCAGCAGGCAAAAGTTTATTAGAGTGTAAGAAAGTAAGAGTAGTACGAAAGCTCTCTTTACAGAGAGGGGGCATTTGACAGTAAATGTCTGCTACAATAGTCAAGTGTCCTTTTATAAGATTCTGGTCAGCCCTCTCTTCTTTCCTGCCTCGTTCCTTCCCAGGGCCTACCCTTATTGGCTTGAAACCTCTAGTTCCTGGGTTGTCCACTCCTGATTGGCTCGATTCCATCGTATGAGGGGTGGTCTATGGCTATATCATTCCTTGTGGGTCAAACGTTTTCTAGTCTACTTATTTTTAGTTAGGTCTTTTGTCAAATTCCTGAGGAAAACTTGAGGGGGAGTAGGTAGTGTCTTTCACCTTCTTAAGAGGAACCTTATGCCTGAGGGGGTTTGCTGCAGACTACGCCCGGCATTGTTCCAAAATACTAGTTTCTCCCCATCCAGGGATCTCAGGTCCTTTCCCTCTCTGCCTACTGAATCCTATCTTTTCCTATGATAACAGTACGGTAGTCGATTTTATTTTTAAGTAATCTCTACACCCAGCCTGGGACTGGAACGCACAACCTGGAGGTCAAGAGTCACAGGCTGTACCAACTGAGTCAGCCAGGTGCCCCCGTAGCAGATATTTCGAAATACTGTTTATCATCCTCGCTATTTCAGTATTACCATATTTACTAGAATTGGTGTTAGATACAGTTAGATTTGATACTATTGCAGGGTTTATTTACAGCCCTCATGCTACTTAGCTGGCCAAGGATCCTACAATTCTGTCTCTTGGTCAGTTACAATCACCCTGTGAAGTCCGAACGCTTATACGGTGGTTCTTACATCTTCCATTGCTTTCCAGTATTTCCCCAAATACAAATGTTGTTGACCACTGCGTCAAAAGAGGTGAATTGTTTTCATTTGGATAATGGTATTTCACTATACTTGATTCCTTTGTAATCTATGAATTTAATTTATGCAGTTAGAAATACTGTTTTAAGACTGGGCCCAGTAGGCTTCATCAGACTATCAGAGGTGTTCATGATCCAAGAGAAGAAACCTTGCCATGGAATAAAAGGTACACCAGAACAGTATTTGGTGCATATCAGATATTCAGTAAACAGCCTGCTGCTTTGTTCTTAAAATGTTCAGAGAGCAGGAAGTGAATGAAGGGCTCCTCGGGCCCCTCAATTGGGGCTGCAGAAACAGCTGTGAAGTTGCAGGCGGCCACTATGCATCCAGGGGATTATATTCCGTGGATTATGTTAGAGGCTTGAGAGGGCTCAGTATGTGAGCCACAGCTGTCTCAAAAAACGTCCCATGGAAACGGAGATGGCCCATGGGCGAGGGGGGCCAGGCAGGTACTAATTCCTTAAGTTGCTCCTCTACCGTCCAAAAGGCAATTACGCCTGTCTGTGGCTACAGGTAAACAGGAATTTAGTCCCGTTGGACTGAACCGGGCCCTCGCATATTCCTGGAGACTCGCACCGGTTTCAGTAACATGAGAGCATTCGGTCACCCGGCTGGAGAACGGAGCCCCAGCGCGGCGCGGGTCTCTAGGAGAGCTCCGGCGCCCAGGGCTCAACAAGGCGCGCACGAGGCCCCGGCTCCCTCGCCACGCCCACTTCCTGCCCCATCCCGGGCCTTTCCAGGTTCCCTCTCCGGTGAACCGGATGCTCTGTCAGTTTCCTCCTCCGCGTCCTCGGCGGCCTCCGCTTCCCTGGCGAAGCCGCAGGCGCCCACGAGGGCACAGGCCGGGGGCACCCGGCGGCTGGCCTGGCAGGAGTAGGACGCCGGGAGGAGCTGGGCGCGCACGGTTACCGAGCGTGGAGGAGACACTGCCCTGCGGCGATGGGTGCCAGGGGCGCTCCTTCACGCCGGAGGCTGGCGGGGCGGCGGCTGCGATACCTGCCCACCGGGAGCTTTCCCTTTCTCCTCCTCCTGCTGCTGCTCTGCATCCAGCTCGGGGGAGGACAGAAGAAAAAAGAGGTAGAATGAATCCCTTGACCTTCCGGGTGGGCCCAGGCTGGCTGGGGCGGGCCGGGGCGGCGGCGTTGCCAGGCAGCTTCTCCGCGTTGCTAGGCAGCCGGGCCGCTGGCGTGGGCGAAAGCGGCCTTGGGGCGCCAGCGGAGCGGTTGGGGGGCCTTGGGGCGAGTCCTTTTTGCCTCGCAGTCACGGATGTAGGGTTATCGTGGTGTTTGCTCAAAAACAGTACAGCATCGTCTTCCACTCTGCGCTTTAGCACCGAACTGTTTCAGACTCACGGCGCTTTTGATCCTCGGAGGCCGAGGTTTGGGCCCTTGAGTCCCTGAAAGGGGGTGTGTTGGGTGTGAAAATACTCTTCAGGAATATTTGTAAACCTGTGAGACTTGTTTGTCCTTCAGGTTCAGTACCCAGCTCCCTTCGATGCTCGATTAAAGCGGAGCGTATTGGGAATGTGTTTTAAGTTTGTATTCGTAATTACACATTTTTAAAGCTGTAGGTTTATTTGCTTACTTATGTTGAACTCCTTTGAGAATAAACTCACATTTTTTAAGTTATGTAAATTTGTTTGTGAAGTGAAGATCACCTGATTTAAACCTTGGTCCTCTAATGACTTCGATGAGAGGGTTGAAGTCACTATATTTAAAATAGTAGAGTTATTGGTGAATTTCAGTTATCCATCCTTCCCTTAGATACTCAGTCTAGAAGGATCAGAAAAAAAATTCTTTTGGAAATGTGAGTAGTGTTTCGTACATTATTTTAGTAAGAGTATTCGCTGTAGTTCAAGATAGTTTTTACCGGTGAAGTATTACACACACGTGCCTCAAAATCTAATTCGGGTTTAAAATATTACCACACGTTTCTTGATAGCTGAGTAGAGAAACAGCCTCATGCGCAATATAATTGTGATTCTCTTTATCTTTACCTGAAACAACTCTGAACTCAATATGAACTTCTTCCCTTTAGCTTTTTAATTTTAGCATGAAAGCATGGCATACAGGATTCTTGTTGGAGTTCCGGTAACAGGTTTAGAGAAGAACTGTTAAAATTAAAACTGTATTTACAAGTATAAGTTAAAGGTACATTTTCTAGCATTTGGTATTTATAGACCACATTCCAAGAGTTTTAGGTGTCATAGTTTTTCTTGAGGGAGGGGATTAAAAGGTGGGTTGTTTTTTTTTTGTTTGTTTGTTTGTTTTTTTGCCGATTATCACAGCAGAGGGCAGTAAAAAATGATGAAGGATTTCATGGAAATTCTGATGACCACAGTAACTTTCAATTGGAAGAAAAAAAATCTGAACGGACTGAAAAGTGTGCATCTTCAAAGCGTCTTAGTATTTCCAATTGTGTGACAACTTTAACAGATGACAACACTGGTTACCTTAGTACAATGACAATAAACTAACATCTGTTCCATTACCATTTTTTATAAAAGACATTTTATTTTTTTTTTTAAATTTTTTTTTTTCAACGTTTATTTATTTTGGGGACAGAGAGAGACAGAGCATGAACGGGGGAGGGGCAGAGAGAGAGGGAGACACAGAATTGGAAACAGGCTCCAGGCTCTGAGCCATCAGCCCAGAGCCCGACGCGGGGCTCGAACTCCCGGACCGCGAGATCGTGACCTGGCTGAAGTCGGACGCTTAACCGACTGCGCCACCCAGGCGCCCCTATAAAAGACATTTTAAATGAAAAATTAGGGAGAAAATTGTTGAGGATTAGAAAAGGATGTCTTCCAAAACCACTTTTGTTTTTCTTAAACAGGAGAGTCTAATACTACTACATCGTGGTATTGCAGAATGCACATATTTAAGGAAAAGAAGAGGGAAATAACAAATAATTGAAGTTTTAATACTTTGCTCAATGAGTATACATATCTGGAATGTAATCTAGTTGGGTAGCTGGTACTCAGTTCTCTGAGAATACACTCACATTATTTAAGTTACACAAATTTGTGAAGTTCAGAGCACCTGATTCAATCTTAGTCCTTAATAACTTGGAGGCTGTGATCTCTTTAAATACTGGAAGAAAAATATACTTTACTGGAAACAGTGGAAAGTGGTTGGTCTCTCGTGGTTCCAGGGTTGTTTTGAACATGTCACTTCATTCTTTGCTCAGTTTAGAGCCTGATGCCCTTATAACGTTTGACACCGTTGAACCAGCAAGTATAGCAGTTGGAACTTAGTTTACTACAAAAAATGTTACTGACATAAATACTTGAGGAGTTCACTTGACATTAATAGTGTATTCCTTTATTCTGGGGGCGGGAAGGGGCTAAGTTGAAGTCTAAAGTTGAACCTGGAACCAATAATGGGCACTAGTTGCTTTTAGGAAGTAATAGTTATGACAGTAATAGCTATCACTGTAAGTTTTTGAGTCAGACAGGTGGTCCAGTTACAACTGAGTCACTAATTGTATGACATCAGGCAAACAACCTAACTTCCTTGAACTTTAATTTCTTTGTTTTAAAACACATATATAAGGGCGCCTGGGTGGCTCAGTCGGTCGAGCGTCTGACTTCAGCTCAGGTCATGATCTCACGGTTCCAGGAGTTCGAGCCTCGCGTCGGGCTCTGTGCTGAGGGCTCGGAGCCTGGGGCCTGCTTTGGCTTCTGTGCCTCCCTCTCTCTCTGCCCCTCCCCCGCTCATGCTCTGTCTCTCTCTCTCTCAAAAATAAACATTCAAATAAAAAAATTTTAAACACAGAATACCTACATCTCAGGTTTGTCAATGGGATTAAATAAGACTGTATATAAATTACTTAGTGCAGTGCCTAGAGCATAACAGATGGTCAGTACTAGTGGCTATTATTATGTGTTCTTCATTTAAATGAGAGCATTAGACATGATGAGATCCTAAAATGTGATAAAATATTTTTCAATTTTCTTTTTGCTAAATAAAGTGATTTCATCATTATTGTGAAATTTATAGTTACTGAAATAAGTTTTTTATTTTATCATGACACATGGAGAATTCCACACTCTTACTTTGTTGGAGAACTTCCCAGATGGGAGATTTTGCAGCATGGAAGAATTGGTCGTATTCATGGATGTGTGTATATGTATATGTGTGTCTACATATATATTTTTATATATATTTCTTCATGAAGACATTTAATTCAGTAGAAAATAATTTTGTTATATTCTCTAAGATTGTAGTGAAGAGAAATAGTTGGGTGAATTGGCAAAAAAGATTAGAGACTTTATAGTCACTTTCCTTAATTACATTCACTGTAGTCATTAAACTAATTTTTGAATCCTCTTGTTAAGTGATAGAAACTTGTGGAAGACTGTACCTTCTTAGTAGTAGATCATTTGCTTATGTAGTGCATCATATTTTTTTTTAAATTTTGACCGTTTCTCTATTTCTTATATTGTTAACACTTATTAGTTGATCAGTTTCATTTAGAATTGTTTTACATTATAATAACACGTTTTGATAATATAAAAGGAGCTAAAATTCTGTAATTATTTTAAATGGATTTATTGACTTTGACATCATCAAAAGTGGCTATTATAGTAACTTATCCTTTATGTTAGCTAATGGGCTTGGATATGTAGGTAGCAATAAATATGCAATATGAAAAATTGAACAGCTCATAAATATTTTTGCCAAGCAATATGATTATGTAAATGAAATATCTCAATTGCCTCTGATGTAACTTCAGTGTGTCGTTAATGGTTTGAAGCACATTTTATACTGAGATGTATATATCCAGTTGTTTTTTAGTGGCAGAGCCATGAAGTAGATGCTTCACTATCTTAGCGAGTTAAGAAAAGGGAGAGGATGGAAGTAAGCAATGGATCTTACCTTTAAGCAAAGAACTTAAGTGGAAAAAAAGTGTGTAAATATACGAGCACAACTTTAAGAAATGCCTAGTAATTACACGTGGGTACGTATACATGTAGACACAGATTCTGCCACTGCAGGTAGTTTCAGCTAGGTTAGATTTTGTGTACAATGACTCCTGGCTGAGTAATTGGAACTGACAGGTCTTACTCAGAATGGCCCAAACTCCTTGCCAAGTCTGTGAGAGCTTAGCCTGCCGTATTTCCACAGATGATGGCAGAAGGCATGGAATTCCTGGATGACAAGTGGACGGTTTATTACAGCAGTGGATTTGCCAGAGTGTCAGCATTTATGCTGATGATGCAGATTAGATGACTGCTACAAGTGCAGGAAGTTGTGTAGCAGGAGAGAAACCTTGAGCTTAGGGAGCTTAGGTCTTTTATAATGGACACTAAGCTTGTTTGACCTTTGACCCAAGGGAGACATTATTAAACCGGAAAATAAATAGATCTGCTCTTTGTCTAGAAAGGACCTGTCTTCCGAGGCTTGGGTGCTAAATGCCCCCGAAAAGATGTCAAGAACAAAGTCAGTTAGGCCTTGTGCTTGCATGTTATGTCGAAATCCACGAAGAATTATTTCCTTAAGTGAGAGAGAGTAACTTAAGCAAAAGAGAATGCTGGGATATTTTCCTCCATGTGCATACCCCACCAGTATGTTCAGTCCCGTATGTGTAGTCTGTTCCACATGAAAGACGCAGGGGAAGAGCAGAAACATGTAACGTGAGCCACAGATTGATCAGCGCTTATCTTTTGCCACATTTACTTTTGCATTTTCTCAATATTCAGTGAGTTTGGATAGGAGTGGCATCTGGAAGCCAGTGACTGACATTGGTTATTTTGGTAGTCTCCAGGGTTTATTCGTCGAGTCAGACGATCTTATGATTCCTTCTTTCCATAAGAGTACCTCTTGGAGTATTGTAAACTCATTCCACCAAGATAGAAAATTTACCTTTGCTTAAGTATAGGAATGGCTGTTGTTCCCCTGCTAGAGAACAGGTAAATCATGAACAATGTATGTATTATATAACATTGAGTGTGTACATGTGTATGAGCGTGCATGCAGCATGCAACGTGGGGACCAACTAGTAGTGTTTAGGTCAGTCTCCAGTTTTTTTTAATTTTATTTTATTTTTGAGAGAGAGAGAAAGAGCACGTGCAT